AACGGGCGACGTTGGTGAGCCGATATTTTTGACAGAACTTTAAAACTTTGTCCATCCTTGTTGCCTCAATTTACTTATTCAGCTCGAATCTCTCTCGCAGAAGACGCGACCGCGTGAAAGAACGCATCTAGACTCCGTTTCACTTTAATTCAAGGCGCAGCGAAGGTAGCACGCGTACACGCGGCTGCAAGAACATCGAGCATTACGAGAGCACGCCCGCCGTTGCAGCAGTCAAACTACGAGCTCGCGCTCAGTAATTTCTTCGCTCGGGCCCGCCGCTATTTCCAAGGTTCGAGCGTGCTAAAATGCGCGCGCGCGTGTTTTTTTTTTTTTTTTTTTTCGAGGTTAAAAAAACACATCTTAGTGCGTGGGGAGAGGGAGAGGGGCCGTTGCTGTGGTCCTCGCCCTCCCTTCTCTCTTGTCACCCGTCACGTGACCCGCTGCCGCGCGCGAGCTACACGCTGATAAGCATCGAGATCCGGAAGGGTGCGCCTAGCAGCCGCTTTTTCTTTGTCTGCTTGTTGTCAGTTCCATCTCGAACTTAGCGCGTCCCTGCGGTCTTATTAGGATGTCTCTCGACAACGTATTGGATGTGCACCAAAGCTATCAGTGTTCAAAAAGTCCTACGTCTATATCGGCAACAAGCGAATCTTCAAAGAAGTCAGGAATTCTCGCGGCTTGGTTGGGTACGGCAACTGACAGCTTCCAAGAAGCCGTTCCCTCTCATTTGTGTTTGTGTGGTTGTCCTGCTTTGACCGTGTCGACAAATATCACGGATTACATGTTTGAAGTCCGCTATTTTTATGGTAAGTGCACTGCAACCTACTTCTTGGCAACGATTGACCGTTCTTCTACTCGTACTCTTTCAGATTATCTACTTAATTATGCAGCCACTATTCTCGCGGCAGCCGGGCGAATAATTTCCCGAAAGTCTACCCTCATAGTCTAGAATTACCTAGGTTCTTGTTTGCTTTGCTATCTTCTCAGTTGTATAAAAGCTTAGAGTGCCTCTCACATTTCACAGATCGCTTGCACGTTTGTAATGTCTACAGAAGACGTAATAAACTTTGAGGAGAATTGAAAACAATCTTTTGTGTCTGTTTTCCTGTCCATTTGCAAGCACCTACGTGAGCACATTTGTTCTACGTGTTTCCTTTATGTTATAAATAGGTTTATGACTTTCGGAACGTCTTAAATAAGTTTAGGATAACCAACCTACCAGACGATTCACGTTTAGGGCTAGCGCATAATTTCCCGAATCGAATGGCACGTTCAAACGTGTGGTCACGTGCAAGGTCGAACGGGCACCTGTATCAAACGGGCACCTGTATCAAATGGGTACCGTTTCGAGCGGGTACCGTTTCAAACGGCTACCCGTATCCCATAATCACGTTTAATCCAAACGGGTCGACAAGTTTGCACCCGTTTGATTTACCAGTTTGCCACCCGTTTGAATTTCAAATGGTTTTTTTCAGTAGGGGTGGATGTTATTTGAAGGTGATAATATTTATTCTCACTGAGGAGAGTCGCCGGTCGTTAAAAAGTCGACTCGCTGATAACGGGAAAGCCTGTGGGGCCACATCTATAGTGACCATGAGTAAAATGTCGTATACACCTATGTCACTGAGAAATTATAATCGTGCAAACGATGGGGCGTTGTGGATACAGGTGAAGCAAAGACCTATCTTACGATTGTGCCGTCCTCATTAGAAGCAAGAATATCGGTTTGCTTCTTCAACCCCTCCTGACGCCAATCTTTCCCATTTTGAATAAATCCGGGACAGCGTTGATCGCGCAAGCCCGCGCCAATATTTAAAGGTCTTTATCAAGTTATAGAACAGTCACCAAGCAGACGTAAGGAGGAATAAATACGCAAAACAGTCCAAAATGGGATGAACAACCTATGAGGGGAGACGTGTTTCAAGCAGTAATGAAGAGATTAGGGTAAGCCACTTGATTGATAAGTTTCGGAAATAAATGTATTATCGACGACCTGAACCCTTTATTGTGCAAGCCAATCCGTGTGCAGACACGGGAATGGTTCCAGCAGCCGCGCGATGCCAGCAAGCGGCTGCTGGAACGAACCCAGCATACCACGACCCCTCGATCTCCACCGACCGAGCGGCCTCGGACCTGCAGCTCATGGGAAAAAGCGTGCGGTCGCGCTGGCTTCCTCAATCCTGCGGATTACGCGTGCCCTCGTCAACGAGGGAAGACACCTGGACGTCTCAAGGTCGTTGTGGCGCTCGCAGTTACCCGCTCGTTTCGCGCTTTTTGAGGATTATCCCTACAGAAAAAGCCGACACAAAAGAAGCCTCTGCCGTCACGTGATTTTCGGGAGAGGGTGAAAAGAGGAGGGCGCGAGGGGCATTTTCCTACCTTGCGGAAAATGGTTTCGTTGGTCGGTCTTTAAGAGGGGAACGGAGACAAAGGAAGAAGGCTTGGGCTGCCGACTAGACAAGGGACCGGTCATGGAGGCGAGCTCGGACGGCGCTGGACGCTGGCGCAGGGAGTGCGGGCACTACGTCGAGTGGCGGACTCGACAAACGGACCGGACAGCGACCCTGGACGACGACGTCCCCATGACGCAGTGTGGACGACCACCGCTGGGACTCGGAGAAGCTGCTGTGGCAGCGGACCCTCCCCCGGCCTCGCTGATGACCGTCCCCCGATCCCGAAACCCCCCAAGGCAATGAGTGAGTGAATAAACCCTTTTGCCGAGAGCGAAGTATTGCAGTGTCATATTCATCCGGAGACAGGGTTTGTGAGAATCGGAGCTGGAAGATGCCCGCAACTTGTAATCGATTGCATTTTACTGTAATATTGTAACGCTTCGATTACTTCCTTTAAGGAGTAACGATCCTTGGAATTCAATTACTTTTTGCTGTAATCAATTACAGAATTACCCATTACAATTTTCCACCTTTTTTTTTTTTGGCTATTGAAGGGGTTGGGGGTTGGATGTCAGAAACGGGACGGGGCTCCGCCGATATTTTTTTTCTTCCCCTACTTACTATATTTTCGGAATCACCACCCTTTACCCTTTCCGGTATACTATCTAGTACCGCAGAATTGGGAATAGTTACCTATCGTGAAATCGGCAAATGAAAATGATACCAAAATGAACATTCAAATATACCCCCGCTTTCAGTGCCGTGCCGTCAGGTAAAGGCCGGCTTGCAGGCCGTTTAGGCAGTCTAAAATATGACTATGCCAGGCGTTTGTTTCGTGCTGCTGCGCGGGTGCTGGAACGAGCTTCCAAAGCATTCAATTGATACCATGAAACTGCTTGTAATCAGTTGGGAAGCAATTCTACAGCGGAAGGCAGAGAGTGAACCTCTGCCTTCCGCTGACATCACCTTTTTATTGCTGCCAACAGAGACTTTCACATTGAAAAACAAAGTGAGGACCAAACTTGCAAATTCAATAACTTCGCATGAAATTAGGATGAAGAGCGCCGTGAACGTAGGCGTCTGGAAAGTCAGGCTGTCGTTGAGCGTTTGTGATTCTACATACTACAACGTTTTACGTGTGTAGCACAATTGCCTAGAAATTTGCCATTAATGTTTAGTATGCTGGATCACCTAGCCGACCTTAATATTTTAGTGTTATATACTGTCTGACAGACTGGCGCTTATCAGCTCGTGGCCACTCGAGGAGCGTGGGCACTGAGCGCTCGAGGCTCGGCGTGCGCATTAATTTGCCATTAATGTTTAGTATGCTGGATCACCTAGCCGACCTTAATATTTTAGTACTATCAAATATCGTTGTATGGGTGCTTTAAGATAATTTTACGATAACGAATAAAAAAAGAAAAGGAAAGACGTTTACAATTCTTTGTAATACGAAATTAGAGCGCAGCTCTCGAGGAGGAGGAAGGGAAGGTACGGAGGGGAAGCTATGCCCCTCCGTAACCTCCCCTCCTGCTCCCGTTCCATTTAGCAGAAAATTTTCGCTAAATTTCCCGCTAAATTTAGTGAAAAATTTCCCGCTAATTTTCCTGCTAAATTTAGCGGGGCATTTAGCGAAAAATTCGCCGCTAAATTTAGCGGACAAGCAGCACGGATTTTGGCCAATGGCCAGAGAAACGTCACTCAACAGCCAAAGGCTGGCCACTGTCTAGCCACTGGCCAAAGGACCATTGCCAGCCATTGGCCAATGATTAACCAACTCTGTGCTATTCGGGAAGTTTCCTCGCTAATTTAGCCGGGAAATCGACGTCACGTGACCTCAACACCAATTCGGTTTCCCCGCTAAACTTAGCGGGGAAACTGTGACGTCCCATAATGCAACGCGCGCGGTTAGGCTGACGGCGACGCCACTCAACCCTGAAACGGGCGCCTAAAGCGCGATCCAAACCAACGCTTCTTTTTGCGCCTGTAGGTCGTGCGGCTGCGGATGTGACGCATTTCGTGTCGTTTTTGCTGTTTCCGGGCGCGCTTTCTGAGTCAGAACCGTGCGCTTCGGTTTGGACGGGCGAAACTTCGGGCGAGCGCGCACGCGCGCACGCAGGCACGAGCGCACAAGCAAGAGAGAAAGAGAGAGAGAGAGAGATCGCGTTGTCATGTTGGAAGAGAATAAAAGGGGGGGGGGAGGAGAGGGCAGCCAGACGGCGAGAAACGCGGAGCCGGAACTAGCTTGCCCTCCACCGATTGGCCGGGACACAGGCGCGCCCTATACGTCACCGCGCGTTTTTGTGCGCGTTGATAAAGAAGTTGAAATCAACCAACTTTTTTATGCGCGCCCGGAAGGAGCGAAGAAGCGGCGCGACGTCACGAAAATACGTCACATCCGCAGCCGCACGACCTACAGGCGCAAAAAGAAGCGTTGGTTTGGATCGCGCTTAAGAGCTGCTCTCTAAAAAGCGCAATATATGTTTTTTGACAGGAAGGTTGGTGCTTGTCTCGGTTCTGCAGCGGAAGCTCCCACGACTCGGATCCGACCTTTGGGCGGCCGCTGTGTAGCGGTGCCTCATACGGAGGCTGAAGAAGCCTGATGACCTCGGAGGTGGCGCGGCAGAGTCCCAGGGCTGATGCGCGGATCCGCGTCGGAAACAGCTCGGCCGTGGACAAAGTGAGCAGGAGGCTGGCCGCACCCGTGGACATGCTCGTGAGTGCCGCCAGAGTCGCCCGAGGCACCAGGACTGCCTCTACAAGGAGGCCGGAAGGATGACGTCGCAAGAGTTTTCAGAGCATACTTGAACAGGCATTTCAAAATGAACACTTAAAAGGAAAGCTTCTGGATTTAATCTTCTGCAGAACATGCAAGCACAAAACTACTGCGGAATTACTACTAGGGAATTACGAAGCTTGACATAAGATAGGGCTTGAAACATGAGACGTGTGTAAGTCGAATGAGCAAGTAATACGTCATGTTCATTGTTTCTGTACATATCGGATTTTTGAAGTCAAAACGTGCTTTGTGTTTTCTCATTAGAGGGGATGCTTCTGCTGTTCGCGATTGTCATCTGCCTCCGCGTTCCGAGGAAAAGCGAATGTACTGAATTTTTTTTTAGAGTACAATGTAAATAAGACATAAATATAAATATGGGCGGTTTTATTTGGATTCAGGCAACGAGGTGCAGTCGTATTTTTTAATTTGCCTCAAATTTTATATATTTTGTGGCGCATGTTCCAAGAAAAACAATCCTTTTTATTTTAATGTCCTGACATGTTTAATTTCTGAGAAAAAAAAAAAAAATCTCAAAGAAGCGGGAAAGAACGACGAGGTTTTGACGACTGTCGTGTGTGGCGTTTTTGAATCGAACCTTAATATTTTATTTTTAAGGTCGGAGCGCGATGGCGATGCTATTTTTAGGGCACCCAAAGTGCTTGCGTACGTTATTCTAAAACCCTCTTATTAATGATCTTGATATTTTGGAGAGCAATAAATCGGACAGGGTGACAGGATTGCGACTTTATTTTCTTTTACAATTTCAAACATTGAACACTCGCGCCCACGGGAAAACATCATAGACCAGAAAATGCCTTCGCCTTGTTGAGAAAGTCCAACAAGGAAATCGTGCCATCAGAAAGGCGACACACTAGTTCTGATAGTTTGCGGTCCCTGCAGACCCACTTGAGCCCCCTGGCCCGCGCGGCGCCACTCTTTGCAAGCTGCTGCAAAGATACCCTTGCCAAACCTCATCCCGTTTGATAAAATCAATGAAGCTGTAAAAGTTCGGGTGAGCCCTCCCTGACACCCTGTTTATCTTACGGTGCCATGTCTCCAAGGTTGTTTCGGGAGTGGGAGATGTGAGGTCAGCAAGGAGGACAGACATTCGACACTTCAATCTAAGCAACTGTTAACGAACAATACAAACGAACCGACCTAAATGATAACAAACAATGGCCGAATTGGGAAGGTTGTTTCAGGATAGGGCGAAATGGGAAAGGATGAAACCAGAGGGTCGTTTTGAGCCGGGTCGAAACGGGAAGGTTGAATTGGGAATGGGTCGAAACGGGAACCACCTGAAGAAGAAGCTCGGTAGAGAAAAACGATCCTCGGTTTGGCGGCGGATCAATTTGCTTTTAACCATATTTTGTCGGCGTCACGGGAAACATTACATGCTTCCAGACACGCTCTGCAAATCTACCGAGACGTAGCAATTGCTGTTAAGTTAAATAGATTTTGTTGTCCGCTGCCCGAGATATCTCTAATGATTATGGACAATTTTTCTATCTACAGCGATGGTCTCACGAGGGCATGCGACCACTAGGGATTTCCCCGTCGGTTCAATGCACGTCGAGTTAAAAACGGGCAGGGTTGGAGAAGCGGTTTATTGTTTTTTTTCCCCGTTTTTCACTCTCAAAGAAGCGTTTTATGATGCTTGGAAGATTGCCGGTACACGAAGCTTTCCTGCGTTCTATCCAAACGCTCGGGCGTCCACCAGGACGCGCTTATTTCCACACCTTCCCCGGTCAAAGTTCTCACACGGAAATCGATTTATGATAAATTTTGTTTATAACCCCTTTCGACTACTGTAATTTTCTAAATCCATCAGAAAAAAAAAAAGGTAAATTACGCAGCACCCGTGATTTCTACACCAAATTAAGGTTGTTGAATCTTGCACCAACATAGCCAAATGATTTTGCTGTAGGCTCGAGTTAATTTCATAGATTATAACGGTTTAATTATGTCTTTGTGCAGAGGCAGTCTAAAGCTCTGCCTGAATAATAAGCGACGAAAATCTATAGAGAAGAACGCTCTCCAGAGAGTGGCCAATGTGCTGACTACGCATGCTAGGAAAAGGTTAGTGATATTTTTTAATTAAATACATTTTAATGCCATTTCGAAGACGCCGGCGATAAATTTGGAGTACTACAAAGCGCTGGAGTGAGAGGCCGAAATTTACATCATTTGGTTGCTACGGTAATCTAAGTAATAAAAAAAAAACTGATTAAAACAGAAAGAAGAGAGAGAGAGGAAAAAAAAGCTTATTGTAATACAGGAAGACAGCACGTTTTTCATAGGCGTTCTATTCCAGACACCCTTTTTAATTGGTACGTACAAACATTTTTTTTTTGTGACTGCATTTGTTTGATAACAGGAACTTCAGGCATTTGCAGGGCTCATCGCCAGTCAGGCACCGAGCCTTCTTTCGACTACATGTACTGACCACTTCCAAGATGCAGCTAAATGCACAAAATGCAGATCTGCAACCTACAGAGCAGCGTTCATTACAGGAGAAGCGAAGTGTTGCGCTTCCAAAATGGCCAAGTGTCCAGACAACAGAAGATTACTGTGCGGCGTTTGACACAGTTCTCGCTGAACGGTGATGAATATGTTAACGTGTCATGGGGCCAAATGCCAGGCGGTTATGTATTTTTTTAGCCGGTGACTGGGTCCGGAAATTTCGTCGAACGCCGTTTCATCGAACGCCATTTTGTCGAAAGTCATTTCATCGAGCGCTGTTTCATCGAAGTCGTTTAATCGAACACCACCTAGTTAGCCAGTACGGATTTTTACCTAAGAAATAGTTGTCTTTTAAAACAGGAAAAATAGCAGAGCTTCCTTTTCTTACAAAGAACGGAACCAATAAAAAAGAAAAACTTTATTTTCTCCGCTAAACTTTTTTCCCCATAGTAACTATGACTTGTGCTTTTAATGTAGCCAATAATAAACAGGAAGGTCTGCTCATCGGGTGCAGTGACGAAAGTACGTCACTCCAACTAGACTTGTACACGTTACTGAAAAATGGTAAGGAATGACATTTACAATTACTCAAGGCTAAATTGTACTTTTTTACAATTACAATTACCTTCTCATAAAAGTAAGTGACCGTTACCCCCAAAAGTAATCCGTTACTTTCGTGACATTACTTTCAACAATATTTTCCTCAATAAGGAAACAAAGGGAAGAAGGTTATTCAAGTTCTTAATGTTGCCACCTGTTCCATTTATTGACCTTGAGTATTTTGAGCAACAGCTGGCCCTCGAAAGTCTCGTCAGACATTTTGCGTAATTTCTTACTGAAGATGTCGATTGCTACGGCTGAACACCCTTTGAACTGAGGCACTGGATGGGAGTGCCGTATTGTGCCTCACAAATATTTAATGCTCTGCATTGAGCTTTTTCAGCGAAGCAATGTAAAGTAGTATTTAGCTCGAAGATAGAGCAAAGCTTTAGCGTTGCAGCCGTTGCCTGATATTCGAGAGTTTTAGCTGAGTTGGTAGCAGTAAGGTGATAATTAAATAATAAATAAGATTTGGCTTGATATTCTTCTTTCTTTGGTTCTGAACAGGTCGAGCCTCGGTTGAGACGTTGGTGAATAAGAGTTTCCTATATATAAATAAAAGTAATCGAGAAAAAAACAGCACCAGGACACTCATAACAACAATTAATTAGAACGTTGGTTACAACAAGGAAATGTAAACACACGATGGCCGTGTGTACATTTTTTGATGCCGTTCAAAAACGCACGGAGCACGGACCGACTGCAGTTTACTCCGGTGTTCTCCGGATAGACGCCCGCTGATGCCACGGGCAGTGCAAGGTAGAGTACTAAGTAATCCACACTATGGCCCCCCTCACGAGTTTCACTCTCTCCTCAAGCCCAGAATATCAAGTGTACGTCAGCCACCATTATGTTGTATTTGGAACAATATCTGCTCGAGATAAGATGCGTCCTGCTGGGGTTTAAACAGGTAGAAGAAAACGGGATACGGCCCATTCGTCACATGTCGATTCGTCATAGGGCAACTGGTAACAGGCCCGTTGTCACAGCGAAACATTCGTCATCGGATGATTCGTCATGCTGGCAGTTCGTCACTCAATAACCCCAGCAGGCACGTAGCCGGGGGGGGGGGGGGGGGGTGCATGGGGCTCGGCCCCCCCCCCCCCCCCCCCCCCCGAAATCTTCCATTTTGCTGGGACCTCCTCTCCCCCCTCCCCCTCATACAGCATCTTGTCATGGGCCGCCCCCCCCCCCCCCCTCCCGAAACAAAATCCTGGCTACGTGCCTGGACCCCAGGATCGTTAAACATTTTTTTTTAATATATTTTGTTTTCTTAGAAAAGTTACGAAAGGGGAACGTTTTTTTTCCTATTTTGTTTTCTTAAAGAAGTTAGGAAAGGGGTCACCCAACCAAATCCGTACAAGGTCAGTGAGGTTGACTACTGTACGAACGGGAACGAAATGACCCCAAGATAAGGCAACATGCAGCCTTTAGCCTGCATGTTGTCTTATCTGGGTCGCCTTACAATAAGAAAAAACCCACCAAACCCGATTCCTTTTTTTTTGTGTGTGTGTGTGTGTGTGCCCCGCCACTGGGCTTACCATGCCGGTTGCTCTTGGTTTATAAAAGACAGATCTCTTTTGCTTCCCATCTCACTCTCGATTTCTGAATGGAGGTTGTTACTACTAGGAGAGGTGGCGATATGCTTCTTCACGAAGGACATTCCCGCACTTGCATTAAAGTTAATGAAACTACGTTGCATTGGGCCTGCCGGCGAAGAGGAGTTTGTAAAACTAAAATAGTCACCGATCACGCCAAGACTCGTGTAATCTCTTATTCCAGTGACCATACGCATGCTGGTGACCCCACCGAGATAAACGTGATTCGGGTTCGTCATCAGATAAAGGAAAAGGCTGGTATGTACCAGAGTCTGTTCCTACTCTTATATTCCCAAAACAAGTTCACTAACGTCCTTCTTTATTCCATTGGAAGGCCGTCTAGCACCGCACCAAAGACTTCCGGATGCGGCTGTCTCTGTCAGTGACGGCACTACATCGTAGATTCCCGCACCGTCAACACTTCGGCGCACAACCAGCAAGCAAAGGCAGCGGGCGAATTTCGAGTACAGCGTACCATCTTGCAGAGCCGACATACGAATGCCCACAGTGTTTAAGGTAAAGTGTATTGCAGCGCAAAATCACAGTGCGCGACATATTATGATAATAATGATTGTTTTACATGTATGCAGACCACAGCCAAAGGAGATTCCTTTTTCCTCCACGACAGCGGAGAGGGCGACAGCGAAAGGATCCTGATCTTTGCTAGCGAGCTCAACTTTAGCTGTCTGGCTAAGGCGACTACGTGGTTCGCGGACGGGACCTTTAAAGTCACCCCGGCACAGTTTTACCAACTGTACATGGTGCATTCCACATTCAATGGCGTGGTAGTGCCAATGGTTTACGGCTTGCTGCCCAACAAATCTGAAGCTACCTACAGAAGGTAAGCATTCAAGAGCTCTGATAAACGCATAAAACGAAACGCTCAGTGGCCCTATTATTGGATACATGTTCAAGCAATTCAAAATATGTTCGCTCTTTTTAAGGTTTTTCGACGTCGAGCTGATTCACATGGGGTCCAACTGCCGTGAGGTGGCTTACACGGACTTCGAGATAGCGGCCATCAACGCGATACAGATCTTGATTGCCGGCGTTAGGACACAAGGATGCTTTTTTCACTTATCCCAGTCGGTGTACAGGAAGGTGTGCTCTAGTGGTCACCAGAGTCGCTACAATTCAGATGAAGAGTTTGCTGTTCTGGTATGCGGAATTCTAATTATACGCCTTATTGTTGCCTTCAGTTAAGCCAGTTGGTTACTTTATTTCTTGTGGATTTTCAGATGAGAATGCTTACAGCATTGGCCTTCTTGCTAATCGCCGACATTCCCGAGGCCTTTCAAAACCTTCTCGAGGTTTTTTCCACCGATGCCTCACTCGTGGCGGCCTACTTCGAGGACGTGCATATCGGGAGACCCCATCGAAACGGCTTGTCATCGGCCACCTTCCCTCCTCTGGTTTGGTCAGTCAGAGAATCAACACTAGCAGAAATACCAAGGACGAACAACAGCATCGAATAGGCGTGGCACGGGGGACTGCAGATAAGACCTAACCTAATCCTCTGAGAACTTGGAAGTTTTCTGTAGCACATTTTGGCATTTGTGCTGAAATGCTCAAAATTTCGGTACGGTGCCCACTCAAAAAGCTTTCTCCACGAGTGTGTGTGTCCTTTTTTTTATGCCAGAGCAACGCGGGCTGCAGTTGTCCCAATATCTGGGCTTCCTTCTCTGCATCAAGGGAGAGCAGCCCTTGACAGAGATGAAACTGGCTCAAGCAGAGGGAGGCACGACATCTCCGAGGGTGTCGAAGAAGCACGCCGACTGCAACCGGCGTCTTTAAATCATTGTGAGCCGCTACGATGGTCGCAATCGTCTTGAAACTTCGAGGGCGGCAGCTCGGAATATCACATTTTAATTTGTTTTTATTTCGCTCAATAAACCTGTTGTTTTCTAAGTACAACGATGACTTGTTTGGATGTTCCATCTCTTCAGTAAAAATAAAATATAACGTACTAATCTTTATTGCATGCAAAGCCAAGTGAATATAAGTTGGGCAAATTCGAATATCCGGTTCGCACAGTGACAAACTTTCCTAGTGACAAATTCCCCTATGACGAATGTTCCGCTGTGACGAACGGGCCTATTACCAGTTGGCCTATGACGAATGCGCACATGACGAACGGGCGGGTCTAGGCCAACTCGTCGAAAGCCAACTCGTCGACGGCCAACTCGTCGGCGGCCCATTCGTCGAATAGGCCCATTCGTCATGGGGCAACTCGTCGAAGGAAAACTCGTCGCAGAGGCCAACTTGTTGCCGCTTTTTTAAAGCCAAATATATAATTTTTTCTTTAAATTTTAAAGCTAATATTGTTCTATAATAATCCGTGTTCTGCCTTTTATGTGTAACTCTTCCGTAAAAAAATGTGCACAATTGATGCTCTCCTTAAAAACTGACCTCCAGTCTGCTCTTTCTTGTCGCAGGTAACACCTTGACGCTTTCGCCACTTTCACGGTGCAGTGGGGCAGGGTCACTACGTTGCTCGTGTATCACTGGGGCGCATGTTAACCTTCCCGGCCCATCAGTTGACGCCGCTTCGCGGCGACAGTTTGCGGCAATTCATTAACAAAATTGTCAACCCACCTAGCCCACCCGTTCACGCCATTCCCGGCGACAGTCTGCGGCGGCTCATTACAAAATAAGTAATAAAAAAGGTAACAAAGGGACGATCCTGAGATGACACATTTTTCAACTTATCTAAAGGTTCTCTCTTGTCTATGCCTTCTTGTTACCATTTTACCATTTTTGAAGTGCTCGCAAAAAGCTGACTCACAAAAAGGGTGACTGAGATGCACATAGCGTGGCAGGAATTCACAAAAAAAGTGGGCACACTCTAGAAGTTGGACTACAAAAAAGTAAGTAGCTCTTAAAACAGGTTCAAATAAAGTGAAAGAAGCAGAACAGAAATACATCCTTTTTTCTAAGAGATGATGATAAGTGTGCAGCGACGAACGAGGAGGCTTGTGGCAATAACACCTTCACATATTATCGCATCTCTTGTAGTGGATTTTAGGGTAGACGGAGTGTTGTCTCGTGTTGTGACATTATGAAAATGGTCGTAGTCACTATAACCGAAAATGAGATCGTTAATTCTTGTCTGTGGACTTACCGCCTCGAGCTTCTCGAATACAATCACTTGGTGTCCTTCTCTCCTTCTTTGTCTTTGTTTTTTCTTTGATCCCAAAGAAAAAACAGACACTAAAAAAAGCGGATATAACTCCCCCCCCCCCCATTTTTTTTGTAGAAACGTTTATTTGGATTTTTTGACATTGTTATTACGGTGTAAAAAAAGAATAGATTCAGGGGCTTGGTTTTGCAAAAAAAAAGAGCTTTGCGTAACTGAAGAGTGCCAAGCCTCCTTTTGCGCTGACGTGACAGTCACTGCGCTCACCTTTACTAAAATAAAAACGACCTTTGTTTTAGAAGGGGGAGAGGGGGGAGGGGGCTGGTCCTGAAAAAAAAAAATTGTAACGGATTACAATGAATCCGTTACGTAAAAAAACGTAAGGGAATTACTTTAAAATTACTCTAGAAAATATGTAATTATTCCGTTACTAAAGTACCGATAAATGTAAAGGATTAGAAGTAATTTCGTTACTTGTAACGGATTACGTACAAGTGTGCCTCCGAATTGCCGAAAAAGCGTTTTTTTTTTTTTTTTTTTTTTAAGCACAAAGACGGTCTTGAGGCAATGACATGTATTCATGTCGCATGAAACAGAAAGAAAAGCGTGTCTCTCTTTCTAATTCTTTGTCATCGTCCCGAACCGTGGACTTAACGGCTTTGCAGTTTTTGTTTTTAAGGCCCGTTCACACTCTTGCGACCGAGTAAGGCCGAGAGAGACCAGACCAGTTTTAAGCCTCTTGCAACTTCTTAGGACCAGCTCCGGTGCAGCGCATCCGGTCCTAAGACGCCGCAAAAGGCTTAAAAACCGGTCTGGTCTCTTTCGGTCGTAGTCGATCGCATATATGTGAACGGCGTTTTAGACAGAAAGCTATAGATTCTCGTAGGATAAAATGAAAACTCAAGTATTTTGATAAATAAAAGAGGCGCAGAGATCCAGATCCAGATCTACCTTTTATGGGTGAACAAATAGGAAACCAAGTATGTGGTGGATTACAGCCGCTTATCTTACCTGAAAACAAAACACTAATTACTACCCACTCAAGTTCTGTTATGCTCTATGATTCAGTAACTAAACTTTTAGCGAAACCGGGGTGGTAATTTTATTTCTGGTGATTCGACAGCACCGCGAAAACAACTCGAGCGATAGTAAATAATCTAAAACGCACTATAATGCTTCAAAATTCGGTGAAGTTAGATAAAATGGCGTCACTCTATTCGATTAAAGGTCCACTTTTTCGATGGCGACCACCAATGTTTCCCGATTGAATTTTGAAAAGGGCTCGTTAAAAACGAGTGCCGCGTCAGTGTTCGGATGGGAGTCGTGAACTCGTGTTCACACTGAATGAACACGAGTTCCAGCCCAACGTACACGCAGCACTCGTGTTCAAACTATGCCCTTCTCTGGTCCTCTTTATGTGACGTAGAAGCACTTTGGCCTAGTCATCTAGAAGGTGTTGACTCAATCCGAGTGTGAACCGGTTAGAACAGTTGCTAGACAGTGGCTAGAAAGTGGGCAGACTCACCGCGAAATAAAAGCAGCTCGAGCGCGGAGAACAGTCCAGTCGTGAGCAGCAGCGATCCTTGGACAACTTCACGCGGAAACTTGGCTGTCGCCAGCATCAAGACGCAATCGGCAGGAACCTGCAGGCCATCGATTATAGAGCGCAGTCACCATCGAGGTATAACCTATAGTAACTAAAACAAATTTCCAGCCACCTTTCTCCCCAAAGATTTATACACCAACTCATGTTTACAAACAAACCGGAGCGCCCCTAGCGGACGCCACCGACGCCGCGCATGCGCGGTGGATGGTGGGCAAGAAGCCCGCGGTCGCTTATAAACAAACCATTGAATTCCGTTGTTGTCGGCACCGGTGGGAGTCCCCGTGCGTTGGTTTTGCGTTGGAATTGTTGATTCTACGTCCTCCTAACAATGTCTGACTACTTGAGCGGCTTCAGCAAAATTAACGAGGCAAAATTTGGGTGAATAATGTGACATGCGGCGATTCATTTCACGTGGACGCCGCAGAATGGGCGCTAAAGCCTGACTCCCACGATGAGATACTGCACGCTATTTTCAGTCGCGACGTCGCTCGGACTGCAAAAGCGTGGACCGTAGCTGAGATGCTATACGTCGATACTGAAAACCGCAAGTAGAATTGGGCATTACAAGTCGGTGATGGCCACTGGTAACAATGATCAACATCTTCTTGTATCTGTTTACACTTAGCCTACTTACGCCAACCAACCTTCAAAAGTGTTTTGAGGCCTGCACTTAGTTCTTATCGGAATTACCGGGTCAACGTTTCGTTTACGGGCCGCTGTCGTTTGAAGGAGCTGACGACAAAAAGCAGCCAAGTTTGAAAGAGCAGACGACAGTTCGAACGCATGCGCAATGAAGTACGGGCAAGAAGCACCGCGTCCTGCGTCAACAAACCATTCGAATGTCACGTTGTCGGCGTCTGTGCGAGTCTGCATACTTTTCGCGTTTGAATTGTCGATTCTATGTCCTCATCGCAATGTCTTACCACTTTAATCGCCCGAGCGAAATGATCAAGGCTCGTTACGCCGCTAAACTTTCCGCAAATAATTTGACGTCCGGCGATTCATTCGCATGAACGCCGCAGAATGGACGCCAAAACAATGATGAGATTCTTCTAGCTATTTTCGGTCGCGACGTCGCTCGTGCTGCAAAAGTTTAGAAGGTAGCGGAGATGATCGACGTCGATACTGAAAATCGGAAGCGGGAACAGACCAAGCGTAACAAGTCGGTGATGACCACTGGTACCACTGATCAACATCTTGTATGTACTGTTTACACCGAGCCTACTTAGGACTTTTGAGGCCTGCAATTACTTCTTATTGCAATCACCGGGTCAAAGTTTGGTCTACGGGCCGCTTTTGTTTGAAAGAGCAGACGACAAAAAGCAGACAAGTTTGAAAAAGCAGACGAAAGTTCGAACGATCAGTTGGCCGTGTGAATTTGAAGACGCACTAAACCCGTGGGTGGTCCGGACAACTTGGCGGGTTTCTCTCGTTCATGTTGGAACAAAGCAAATACATCTGGCGACCACAAAGTGTTGCCCGCACACGTAATCGTAGTCCGACAGCGTCTGGTTTGCCCTTTTCACACAAAAACACATGAAAACTGATCTTCAAACCTTTCCAGACTCTCTTGGTACAGCCCCCGTCGCAGCATTTTGACGAGAAGGCAGGTTTTTTGTCTCATTTCTTCCAAAGGAACACAGGAATGCATGTCTGGCACGGCGACTTCTGTCCACCTCCCCAGACCGGAAGTGCGTCCGGCGCGCCACCACCGCGGCGTGACGTAGGAGAGTTGAGTTAGCGGGGATTGTTTACATTTATTTCGAAGACATTAAACGTTCGTTTTTTAGTTGCGGACGAGAACATGTTGCTTAATAATTTAATTAAAAGGCCTAGGCGCGCCGTCACCTTACCGGATCAGGAGGGTTGACGTCATCACGTGACACCACGGTGACACCGCAAAGTGACGCCAAGTCACGTGAAGTTAATTCCTCAGCTAAATATAGTGGGGAAATTGAAATGATGTTTATGCCACGGTGTGATTGAGAATCACTGATCTCTATGACAATTGCTGGATCGCGCTTCCCCGCTTGTTCGCTGCAGCGCAAGTGAAGCCACCGGGCTTCACTCGCTTGGGATACGATTTGCCGTTTTTGCTAGCCTTTGCTGCGGTTTTCCAGCGTGCTGACGACACGTTTTCTACTCGTTCGTCGTCATTCGCCGAAAAAGCTTTTTGAAGACTCTGTGTATTGTTGAGACTTGCCGTTGTGAACACGTGGAAAATTTTACGAAAGTGCAGTGTCGCAGGAAAAAGGCACAACGCGTCGAAAGGAAGGGCTGGCGGCGTGTTCAAAGCTTCATTGGCACGCCGAAGTGCCGTGTCTCTGTGCCTTCGCACGCTTGGATACCGACCAAGAACCGACGCCGTGTGTATGTGTTCAGCGAGTGCAATGTGCGTGAAGCTGTTCGTGCCTCTGGATCAGCGTCTTTTCCTCTCGCGGTTTAGGAACGAGCTTAATCCAGCGTCCACTAGCGACGGAAGATGGGGAGAAGGTACGTCTTTTTTTCGTCCTTAGACGATTTACACAATACCGTGCACAACAGCTCCTCATCACTGATCAGTGCTGGCCTATTATCAACCTACTTAATTGCACTTGACGTTTGAGCGCGGCTCGCCTAATTGTAATTGGTCAACAGATTGCACACGACCATATCGGCCGCGCTTCAAAGATTTTCATTCTCGCCGTCTTGTACTTTTGCTTTCGAAAACCCCCCTGGCTCCACAACGTTGCCCTATTCGTGCTCCCACGGAATCTATTAGAGTAGATTTGGTACATAGCCATGGTTAATATAGTACATAAGAACACGTACAGATCTCCCCCTTTTATTGATAGCAACTCACCGGAACAGCTGGACGATCCAGAACTCCGTGGCCGATATATATAAATGATCTAAAGGCATCTACGCGCGACACACGTTCAGAACTTTGGCGCGGCGTCAATTCTTGATCGGTATCCAAGCGTGCGAAGGCACAAAGATGCATCACTCGGCGTGCCAAGGAAGCTTTGATCACGCCGCGACACCGGCGACACGTTTTCGACGAGTCGTACCTTTTGATACGGCTTCACGCACATTGCACTCGCTAAACACATTCACACGGCGTCGGTTCTTGGTCGGTATCCAAGCGCGCGAAGGCACAGAGACACGGCACTTCGGCGTGCCAAGGATGCTTTGAACACGCCGCCAGCCCTTCCTTTCGACGCGTTGTGCCTTTTTCCTGCGACACTGCACTTTCGTAAACTTTTCCACGTGTTCACAACGGCAAGTCTCAACAATACACAGAGTCTTCAAAAAACTTCTTCGGCGAATGACGACGAACGAGTAGAAAACGTGTCGTCAGCACGCTGGAAAACCGCAGCAAAGGCTAGCAAAAACGGCAAATCGTATCCCAAGCGAGTGAGGCCCGGTGGCTTCACTTGAGGGAGCGGCAAGCGCGATCCAGCAATTGTCATTGAGATCAGGGTTGAGAATACGTGTAAAATTTATCCGCTAAATCTAGCCAGAAGATTAGCGTCCCGTAACGTCAATTTCCCCGCTAAGTTTAGCGGGGACGTGCACGGACGGACGAACGGACACATTTCTGGGATTACGAGGGAATGGGGGCGTTTCTGCAATTTAATATACGTATTCTTCTATTGTATGGCCGCACGGTACTCCTGTTCAGAAACTAGCAGGGAACTGCACCGTTCGTGAGTCACCGAGATCTTTTACACCGCGGCATTCAAATTGATTCACTATTCTCAACCCTTTTCATGGTTTGCACTTGACGTCATCGTACCCTGTACGGGTTGCGATTCTTTCTCGTTCTTTCCGTGAAAAACAAATTCGAGGGTCCCAAATGTATCCTGCAGCGGAAGATACGCGCTCAGCACCTAGGCCACCATAACGGCAGACGGTGCTATGTAAAGGCATGCCATGAAATTAGATACAGTGCGCGTCCAGCGGCAAGTTGGGTCAAGTTTCAGTGGTTGTGAGGAACAAACGCTTAAGTTTAGCATACACAGAGAAAAGATAAAAAGAAAGACGTTTACAATCCCCTATAACGCCGAATTAGAGCGCAGCTCTTGAGGAAGAGGAGGGGAAGGTACGGAGAGGAGGGTATGCCCCTTCTCATCTGTACCCTCCCCTCCTCTTCTTCACCCCTCTCATTTAGCGGGAAGTTTTCACTAAATTTCCCGGTAAATTTAGCAGAAACAATTCTCGCGAAATTTAGCGGGGAATTCTTTCGCTAAACTTAGCGGGGAATTTTTTCTGTAAAATTTTGGGGGGAAGTATTTCCGCTAAATTTAGCGGGCATTTTTTCCTCTAAATTTAGCGGAGAACTTTTTGTGCCAAATTTAGCGATGAATTTCTCCGCTAAATTTAGCGGGGAATTTGTTCCGCTAATTTTAGCGGAACTTTTTCAGCTAAATTTTGCGGGGAAATGTTTGCGCTAAATTTAGCGGGGAATTTTTTCTGCCAGATTTAGCGGGGAAATTTGCTCATATGCAACGCGAGGTGACGCCAATATAGGAAACGTTCCACATTGCAACGTGCGGTTCTGCCGGCGTCGACGGCGACGCCGCTCAAGCCGGAAACGGGCGCCTAAGAGCTGCTCTCTAAAAACAATACAATGAATGCATAACATGCTTCGAGTAAATTATAACTGTGTGAAAGAAGCATGATGAACACTGTCGATGCTTTTATAGAGTACCTGAACCGCGGCCAGCAGAATCGCTTGCGCGTCTGGTACGAGTGGCTTGAGTGCCACCGACCATGGAAATATTTGGATGGTTAGGGACAGGGCCACCCTGTATAGAAGAGAAAAATTCTGGTTGTCGGCACAGTAATCACACTTAGTCGAGAAAACTTCACGCGTTGTACGGTTTCCTTCAGTTTAACTGAGCAGAATTCAAAATTTGCTATTAATAATAATAATAATAATAATAATAATCTTTATTTCCATTTAAAGAATGGTGGAGCGAAAGGGAACAAGAAGCTTGACTGGCCCTCAGCCCCATCGGCAGCCAGTGAACGAACAGTTTTCGTGCAATAAGAAAAAAAAGAAAAAAGGAAATCACAGAAAATTATACGTTATAAAATGGGATAACAGCAACAAGACTCAGAACACTTAAATATGTAAAAATATATTACGCAACTCTTTAGGAGATATCGTTTCTATATTTTTATTTTCTTCTTCAAAGTTGTTTAGAAGCTTTGGAATTAAATATCGAAGCATTTGTTGCCCATAATTTGACCTGCAAGTGGGAACCTTCCAATATTCATTATGACGGGTCAAGTAAACCGTATTATTTTTTTCTAATCTAACTATCTCGTTTGAAAGAACACTTTCTTTTTTAATTTCATTCTTAACGGTCAGTAGAAGTCTATAATAAGATAGCTTATGAATTTTTAATATTTGCTCCCTTACTTTAATATTACCAGGAAAGTGGAGACTTACACATAAAACCGTTAACCGTTAACGAAAACTTTGCCCGCAATGTTTTCGTCGTTTTGCTTCAGTCGCGAATAGTATCGCTCAGTCTGTGAACGCCCAGCGGAAAGTATAGAAAGTTGCCCGCATTTTCCGTCGGCAGGTCCTAGGAGCCGCGTGTCCGCAGGAAACAAATTCGCGTAAGCTGAATCTACTCCGCTTGCACCATGCCGACAGCAGAGTCACCGCTGCGGCATAAGGTCGTAGGCTTCTGCAGCTCGTTTGACCGCGAGTTAAATGCATTAATAGAATCGAAAGAACACAGACACAAGGAAGTAGACACAACGCGTGAGGGTACGGTGCTCTTCTGCGTTCAGTTCAATTACCCAACGAGAAAATGCTGGCAAAAATTACGGTAACATATACGGACAAAAAAGTGTGGCGCAAGCCGAAATTAAGCAGACGGTAATCTGAAGACGTACTCAGTTGGGCATAGGTTTTTCATCAGAAAATCGTCTTCTTTTGCCGATGGTATGTTTTCACTCGGTTCTTGAACTCTTTATGTCGGTTTATTATTGTTTTTGTAAAAATATAATGCGGTTGCATCGGGTGGGAGCAACATTAAGTTAACTGGCGCTCTACAGTTTGTTTTCTAGCTGTCGCTGTCTGCAAAGGAACCAGGGAATCGACGTTCTTACCAGCAGTAAATCAGCGTAGCGACTTTATCACCGTGGTATCTAGTAGACGAGATCTTGTCGTCGAAGTTCAAGGAATGTTCCCGTCGTTCCTACAAAATATATAATATATTAATTCAATGCATATATGACCATGTACAAGTGGATGCCGCATGCAGTAAGAATATGCGTGACACTTTCGCACAGTAGGTGTTCCTCAGTCAGGTCCATACTCGCCGAAACGACAGAAGGTATCCTCACACCGACTATAGGACACGGTCCGTCGTCCAGAAAATTTCGACAACTATGACTAGACTTCCCTTTTGTAACACAAAAATTAAGAATTGAAATTAACACCAACATTTGAGACCAGCATCCCAGGGTCTGCTCACGTGATGACAACAACCGCAGGGCCTGTGACAGACATTACCCTCGTCTTTATCAACTTCCGCAGCCAAACGGGAAGATTGGACCTGTGACCCAGGCTAAGGCTCGGCACCTCCTTTTAACGGATTATCGCCTTAGTAGCAAGTAGATAGGAACGGGGATTAAGTACCATAGAATAATTCCATTTTATTCTATCTTTATTTATGAGTAAAATTCGAAATTGCAGCTCCAGTTTGCCTTCTGTTCATTTCCCAGCCTTAAAAAAAAAAAAAAGAAAAAAAAAAGATATTTACTGCAGTTTGCGCAAGAAGCCAATTGCCAGTCAAGTCAAGGACAGATTTTGTTAAAAATGTTGAACTGATGAGGAACACAAGCTTGTGAAAATCAATCTCAACGCAACTCGTGTTTACCCCTAATAAATAGGCCCAATAAATGTGCCGAACAAACATGTCAAAAGATTGAACCAAATACATATCCCAGATTAAACGGGACCCCGCAGTTACTAACTGAACCCTACCACCAGCCCAGCGTACGAGCGACCATTTTGTGAAGAACTGTATCCACCTGTCAGAGACTCGGTTGAAAGATTTCTCGTCAAAAAAAAGAAAGAAAAAAAAAAGTGCGCATTTAGAAAGGACAGGGAAGAAGCTTCTTTGGAGGAACAAATACATTAATATAGTCACTGACAAGAAGAGAACGACAGGGAGGAGTGCCCCGCCCTCAGCACGAGCTACCCATTTTCGACAACTCTTCGGCGTATCGTGCGCCTCGAGCGTGCGGGCACAGCCAAAACACGGAGGACGCCACGGAGTGTGTGCTGGAGGCCGGGCGTTCCAAAGACACACCCTGCCGTTCTAATTCTCTCAGCGACTCGAACAAACTACATTCTATTCCGCTCATTCGCGTTACACAGCGTGCCTTGTAATCCACCCCCATCGGCATCCCGCATCCTAGAGGACGCATGCGCGTCACCCCTCCACGTTGTTCCGCTTTCCTGTGGCGCCAAGGGAGAGGGCCTGCGCCAACACACCGAGACACCGTATCTGCCAAGACAGCAGATACGGTTGTCTCAGCTGCGCCGGAGGCTGTCCACGACGATAGATCGTGGCAGCCAACCCTGCCAATTGAAAGGGAGGCTGAACCGAAATTAGGATTACGCAAAATAAGGCCGCAGGAGCGTAGAACGGGACGCTGCATGCCAACTCCAAAACATTACTCGGACATCGATATCTTGAACGGATGGCCGTATTTTTAGAAACTAAGGGCGCGATCGAGTGAGTGCTGTGACGTCGCGATCTTCCTGGTGAGAGTTGAGAATGAGGGGAAGCGGCCTTGCTTCTCTCCTCCTCGCTTCACTTCACCTACTCGAGGGAACGGAGCGATAAGGAGAGGGAAGGAGTATCGTGACGTAACATGTCTCGTCTGCCTCGTCGGCTGTGCTCAGTCGCTGACTTTTCCAAAACTACAGCTAACCGTCTGCTGAGCGTTGGTTTGAGCGCACGCGCCCGCTTGAGTCCCATGACTACGCTGGGCAGGCGACGGAATCAACAGAAGCTCGGCAGATCCTTTGTCAAATTCGAAAGTGCGCGCAGCTTCGCTTCCCTGCGAGCGACTAGGGTTTGTATCCCTGTTTTTTTTGTTCCCCGCATTTATCGAGCTTCCGGTACGAAAAAATACGGCATGTAAATCTTGACACTTCATAGCTCGATATACTCTGACCGGTGGTTGGGGCAGCGAAGAGCCAGATAAAATTCATGAATGGTCATTTCAACTGTAAATAAAATTTCTTTCTCTCCCTCAAACATTATCAAACTCCACAGCCTTTTCTTTTCTCATTCCGATGGAAGCAAGCTTCAAGAACTCGCGCGTTCTAGAAACGTGTTATGAAATGAGCACAAAGCAGCATTTAGGATTTACGAGATTGCAGGAAAATGAAATCCCGTGACGCGATTTTTTTTTTGCACAGCCTTCCAATTTTTTTTCTTCCGTGCAATCCGCGACCAGCGCAATATTGGTTCCTATGTCAAGATTCATGGATGCAGCGTTTATATTCCTAAGACTGAGTGGAGAAGAAAAATATGTAAGCGAGGTGTGTGTCAGTTGACGGCACTTAAAAAACAAATGGCATTGATACCACATTCATTGTCAACAGTGCGTGGCCGAACCGTTTTGACAGGAGCCGGTAACCGTTATTTTTTTTCCGGTTCAGTTCCGGTTCGGGTTCATCGCGATAACAATATAACGGTTCAGGTTCGGGTTCAGTTCCGGAAAAAATACCGGTTCGGTTCCGGTTTTCGGTTCGGTTCGATTCCGGTTCAACACCTTGATATATATTGTGGGAGCCGGGGGTGAAAGACGAGGCAGAGGGCACGTGACAGAAGACACGAGCTGGCGCGAGACATTGCGAGCTGAGCGAGGCTGGTAGCTGGACAAGGAACGACGAAGCCAGGCTGCCTAGCCTGGCCCATAACGAACCCCGGAGCGGTCCGCCAGGGAGGTCTGGAGCAAGACCGGTGGAAACGGCGAGCCCGGGCTATATGACCTGGGCTATGACGATCCCGGGGTGGTTCCGCAGCGAGACTCGGGCATTGATAGCCCGGGATAGCCAGCCTACGCAGCGCTGGCGTGGGAAAGGCGATCCGCAGGCCTGGACAGGGACCCCGACTGTGAGCTCTGATCGACGGGCGACAACAAGGGTCGGCGGGCCTGGACTACCGGCTCTCGACGACGGGCAACCGGGAGGTACAGTAAACCCATTCGCTGTCTTCTCGTTGCAATGTGTGATTCCCTGGGTGACGGGCAGAAGGCATACCGATCGGGCGACGATTATTAGGATAGAGGGACCTCCCCCATAAAGAACCCCACATTAAAATGGCGCATCCAACGTGGGGCCCGTTCAGTATGCCTCTGCTTCTAGTCGTCCCCAGGGAGACCCATGGATCCGTTAAGCGGGTGGTTCACTAACGCTAACGATGCCCGTTGAGACAAAGTATTTCGGAATTTTGGTGACTTGTCTCACAGCAGAGCTCAGCAGGTGTCTCCTCGAATCGAGTACTTAAAGGTCTCGAAGGACGAGGTTGCGGACGCGCGTTCTCGGGTACCCCAGAATAGTGGTTGGCAGAAGGTGAACCAACCGGGGGGAACACGAGGAGCGCTGTTAAGGTGTAAGTAAGTCGTCTTCGGAGGCAGAGGAGAGGCACGGCAGGTTCGCTGGAAGGCAGGATAGCGACTGGCAGGAGGAAAAACAGCCAGGGCTTATTGCATATTTAGGATTTAGGC